TCTATTCAAATCTTTCCTGATTGTACTAATATCCTCATTAGAATGAATTGAACAACCTATTTTGGTGTCATCAGCAAATTTGCTCATGTCACTATTTAATCACTCATATATGTCGTTTATGTAAATTGTGAATAACAAAGGGCCCAAAATTTACCCCTGTGGAACACAGTTTGTGACGTGCCCCCACTCTGATTTCTCTCCATTTATGCCCGCTCTCTCTCTAACCACTTAAGTTTCGTCAATAACCTCTGATGTTGAACTGTATCGAAAGCCTCACTAAAATCCATATACACAATATCATATTCATTACCATGATATTCCTCTTTAAATACCTTAGTGAAAAAAGTTAGTTAATTCGTAAGGCAAGAAAGTCCCTTTGTAAAACAGTGTTGTGATTCATTAATCAATTTATGCCTTTCAAGATGGCTCGAATTACCTCGACAATTATTGCTTCCAAAAGACTCACGAAATCGTAATGACACGATTGCAAACAAACCATACCCCGGCCGGGATTGAACCCGCGGTCAGAGAGTTTCAAAACTCCAGACCGTCACGTTAGCCACTGGACCAGTTAGCCACTATAAGATTCGTCCAACTAGGTATATTTCTGCACCATAGGAAGGTTAGCACAGGCACCACTGAGACCACAAATGCAAGTTTTTACAAACGAATCTCCAGCTAGCGTGGCCTTGACGAACTCTAGCTCAAGTCCCCTCACTGCCGTCAACGATTTCGTGAGTCATGTTGACGGCAGTGAGGGGACTTGAGCTAGAGTTCGTCACGGCCATGCTAGCTGGAGATTCGTCTGTAAAAACTTGCATTTGTGGTCACAGTGGTGCATGTGCTAACCTTCCTATGGTGTAGAAATATACCTAGTTGTACGAATCTTATAGTGGCTAGCTGGTCTAGTGGCTAACGCGACGGTCTGGAGTTTTGAGACTCTCTGACCGCGGGTTCAATCCCGGCCGGGGTATGGATTGCTTCCAAAAGTTTTCCCACTTTGGAGGTAAGGTTTACTGAGCTCTAGTTTGAAGCTAAGGACCTGTCTCCTGCTTTGTAAGTAGGTATTACATCTATTTGCCATTTCTCACTTGTTTGGCACTATGCCAGTTTGTTGTAATAAGTAGAAAAGATTAGCTAAAAGTTTGCTAAGTATCTCTTTACATTCCTTTAAATCCCTTGCAAACAATTCATCAGGGCCTCGTGATTTGTTAGGTTTAAATTTCTCTATTTGTCTGAAGTTATTTCTGGAATTTCGCTAGTATCTTGCTGAGTAAACACAGAGAGGAAGCAAGTGTTGAAAATTTCACACATTTCCTTATCACTCTTAGTGATCTGACCAGAGTTACTTTTAAGTGGGCCTATTTTGCCCCTAATCTTACTTCTGTATATCTGAAAGAACCCTTTTGGGTTAGTCTTCGAATCCCTTGCGACTTTAGCCTCATAATCTCTTTTTGCTTTTTTTATTCCCATTTTATTTCTCTTTTTAATTGGATATATTGATTTCTTAAGTGCCCATCCCCTCTTTTGATACGCCTATATATGCATTTCTTTTGATCAATGAGATGTTTTAATCCATTGATTATCCATTTGGGATCATTTTTTTAATTTCCCAAATCTGAACGTAAGTTGTCTGGGCAGCTAGAACTATACTCTGAAAAAAAACGTCATTTTCGCAATTATCACCACCTACTTGAAATATACCAATTAAGCCCACCCAGGTAATTTCTCAGTCCCATGAAACTGGCAAAGCAGAAGTCCGAGACAGAGACTTGATTGTAGTTATTTGGGTAATTCCCTGATATATTGAAACTAAGTGATTTGATATCTCTTTCCATAAGCTCATAATTAGCCTCAAGATTATTAATTGGTTATTCTTTGTTGGCAAGAACCAAGTCAAGCATGCTTTTTCCTCTAGTTGGTTCTATCTCAAACTGTTATAAAAAGCAATCCTGAACCGTGTTCCAATCAATAAGTCTAGAGTTAAAATCTCCCATTAACACAACATTTTCATATCTAGACACCTTATGAATTTCATCTCATATCACCTTAATGCACTCCCTATCAAGGTTTGGGGGCCTATAAATCATACCTTAAATTTATTTTTCACACCCTTGAGAAACTGTACCCAGATTCTGTGTCCGATGTTTCTAATCTCATATCTTGTCTAACACAACATTTTAACTTATCTCTGACACATCGCCACTCTACCTCCATTCCTGTTGACCCTATCAATGTGGAATAGTTTATAGCCCTGTATGTTGCATTCAGACAGCATTTCTCTATCTAGAACCAGGTCTCCGTTGATGCAATAATATCCGCATTTCCTGAACTTGCAAGTAATCTTTGCTCATCCATCTTATTTCTTAGACTTTTACTATTAGTATAGTAAACCTTAAGGGAGCTAGTCACTCACTTCCCTCTACTGTCTGTCTTTGTGTGTTGACCAATTGCTTTGCCTTCAATAGCAACTTAATTCTGAATATTGCCTTTTTAAACATATCGCTGAGGTATCCTGGTAATATCTGCTGTTTTCAACCCTAGTACTGCAGACTGATTATTTCCCACACCCACCCATACCTCTATAATCTATCGGTCCTAGATAAGTCATCAATGGCCCTCTCAACTGAGTGTGCTAATGCAGCCACTCCAGCCCCTGAGAGATGTACCCTGTCCCTTGCATACATATCATGTTTGCAATAGAATTTGTCCCAGTTATCAGTGAATGGGATTGCAAGTTCCTACAGTACCTAGACATCCATGGATTGCCGACTCTTCTTCTAGGCAAAATGCTTCATATTACTGGTACCCCTCCCTTAGACCTCACTACATCTATGGTGGACTTGTACATATCCAGCAGCTCCTTTCTCCTACCCTTCCCAATGACTTTTCCATCAGCACTAAGACCTGACACAATATTATCCAACCTGATGAAAAATTATTCACATGTGCAACATCTGTCTAATTTTGTTGTTGACTATGTCAACAACACCAGCTCCTTGGAAACACACTCTCTGTGTCACCTTTCTATCTCTGTTACAAAAAGCATGGTCCATAAATCTTACCTGGGAGTTTCCCACAACCAGAATGTTCTTACCTTGAATAGCAGGGGAATCAGTGAATCTCTAGTCAGAGCATAGGGACAAGTTAATCATATAATTTCTATGCCCCCAAAGCATTCTTCCTCAAATGGCAAAAGTCTCAGATACCACCTTTAATGTGGCACAGAAACGAGAAATAGAATAATAGGAAGTACCATCATGTAAGACCTATTCAGATAAATATCAACTGTGCAAACTAACAAGCTGAAATTTAGAGAAAATAACTTTAACCAGACCCATGTTGGAATTTGTTCGAAGGCTGTTTAGCCAGCACCTGAAGCTGTGCCCCGGATCTGTTGCTATGCAACTCTTCAGGAAAGCAGGTATAAACTAAGTGTTTTTCCATGTCAGTGAACTGAAGTTCACGAATTTGTGCAAAATCAAAAACTGTGAAAGTCATCATTGACGACAGTGTTGACGAATATGACGATGATACGGAAGATGATTATTAAATGCATGTAATACACTTGATGCATAATTTTCATTGTTTCTGTAACATGTTCAGAAATTTACAAGCAATTTATCTGATTTTAAATGAATTTTTTTTCATTAGATACAATTTTCTGCTGCAATAGTTTTAAAATACTACTTATAATACACACAAAAAAATGTTTTTATATACTGTAAATTGCTAGAGTTGATTAGAAATGAAACAGAACTTTTGTTTTTTGTCAAAAGGAAAAAAAAAAGAAAATTTATCATTATATTGGTTATCTACTTAAAGAGATGTATGAGGTGAAAGTTACTGAATTAGCTTTCTTTGCAAACAAAGTTAATAACAAGTGAAGAGTAATTTTAAATAGCCTACAGTTTTCAATGATAGAAATAACAGGACATAAGCTTCAAGTTGTAAGTTGTTTCCTCTCAGTGCTTAGTTAAGAAAACGAAATTTTTTAGGGAGGTTGGAAAATGATGACATAAGCTTCAGCCTTTAGGTATGTATACATTGCACTAAATCATTATGAACATTCTTCTATCCCTTCTCTTCCCTGGCCCTCTCCATTTCCTTGATGATAAAGAATCACCAACACTACCGGCTACTGGACTTCTTATTCTATTGCTAACTCCCTCTACCACTGCATCCTTGTTTCCCATTTTTACTCTCTCCAGTTCCTTCCCCTCCTTTCACAATATCTGACAAAACACTATCTACTTATTCTCTTCATCCCTTTACTAGTGTCTGGTCAACTGGCGTGGAAAATGTATAAAAAAGATAACTACATTTCGGCGGGTAATGGGGGTTCCCTGAAAGTGATTACATTGAATACCTAAGCGTATTACATGAAGGATTTTGGAAGGGGCACAGTTGTGTTCAAGGGAGAGTTGTGATGAGTGTAGAATATACATTATCATATAGTAATGGGGATTGTGGTGTTTGTGTCTGAGCTGCTACACGTCATCAGTGATTATTTACTGTACACTTACCATATTTCTTTACAATTACCCACAATTCCCTTGCTGTATTCAAGAAGGAACATGGAAAGATCCTCAGTTTAATTCCTGTTTTGCGTATGTTGATGTACGTGTGTGTGGCTGGCACCAACCATCTGGTTGATCAGGTTAACAACTGGGTCGTGTCGGAAGTGAACTTTACAACTGACTGCGGGTAACCAACAATTCACTAACTGTAATAATGTAACGGATATGAAAATTCAAAGTCCAGTAGTAATTTAATGAGCTGAAAGGTTTACAAGTGTCAGATTATCTTCCTATTCTATAAATTTAAAGCAAGACTGATGTGATTCATATTAAATTGAACAACAAATATATTCACTCTAAGACTGCAACCTTATTCCTGTTGTGACAACATTAAGGGTATTTCTCATAACAAAGATGTTATGATGCATACTTTTGCATCAATTTCTTTAATAATTCAACAAAAAATAATACCACACATACCCTTGTAGTCAACAGCGTTGATGTAATATTCCTCAGTGTCGAGATAATCTTTAATATCATCATAACTCCAGGCTGGTGAACCATCTTCATTGAGTATTTCAGCCATATAATGTAGGAGAGAGCAGCCGCGTTTGTCTCTGATGGTTCCTGGGAGACCGTAAGACTCTAAGAGAGTCTTGACTCCACCTCCACGGTAGTTTCCCACTGACGCTGCACTGAACACTTTATTTATTCTCTGCTGGAGTTCCTGAAGGCAAAGATACACTTATTTACTTTATAAACTTTGTCAACTTTAGTGAAGGTTAGTTTGAAAGAAATGTTTCAATAAACAAAGTCATATTTACGGATTTCATTTTAGTGGATAAAGAAAGGAGGAAAAGCTAAGGAAAATTATTTGATATTTAATTTCGAGAAAGGTCATTGTGATTCCTACCTTAAATTCCTGTGATAGTTTCCTACCCTCAAATTACTATTCAGTCAGCCTGACGTCAATAGTGGGAAGATAATCAAAGAGAATTATAAGAGATAAAATTCGAAGTCATTTTGATGAACATATTGTGTACAGTTGTGTACTTCTTGGTAAAATTCCAAGGAATCTCTTATACACATTTTGCACACTTATGCACTGCTGCTTTTTCCCTCAAATATTCAGTGAGATTAAAATAGTTTTTACAAGCTTTGTGGTAGTTTTTGGTGTCAATTATATTTTAATTTTCCAAAAAAATGAACTCATATTTTTACAATTTGGACTAAATCGGTTAGGTTTCCCATCATATCAATACACTGAAAACATCTTCTTGCAGGTATAAAAACTTTTGGGTGAATATATTTTTATAGCAATCAGTGACAATGTTGTCAGTGAGCATATGTAGCTTATTACTTTGTCTAGTTTATAAATGTAGATAATGAATCACAAACTATTTAAAACTGACGCCTGAGGAATATCATTTATGACATCTTTCTATTCAAATTTTACACCATTTCTTCCAAGATGTATTTTAGCCTGTCAGAGTTGATTAGTTCTGTAGGAAAACATTTTCTCTAATACTATGTGGTCGTGTTTTCTTAAGATGAATCACTGCTGCCAGATGTTGAAATAGTGTCGGCAGGTGTGCTGACAGGTGTAGGATCAAAGATGGTATGTGCACTGTCTAGTGTACTGGCAGGTACTAAAGCAGAGATGTCAGGTGTAGGAGAATTAATAGATCCAAGGCTTGCTTCGCTGCTGGGAAGAGGATCTATTCCCTCTGTGGTGGTCAGAGGAATTGTGTTAGAATTTCCTAAGGTAGTGGATTGAGCTCTGTCAATCTCTGGGGCCTTAATGATGACAAAATTCTACCAGTAATTTACCTCTAAGTAGAGCTCAGTGTGGAACTTCCAGTCTTAGTCAATAGTGTCACCATCAGCTGAGCAGCTTATGTCACTTGATGTAGGCTTGTACTGGCCTTCTACAATAGCTTGGAGGTTATCTAATGATTTGAGGAGCTCATGAAGTGCTTCCCTGTGATGGATTATCTCAGCTGCAACTTTACAACACAGCTCATGATGGCAGTCTTGATCTTTGGAAAGGAGTCCCTGAGGTGCTTCTTGTAGCTCTTGTAGCTCTAGGTTTGTATCCACATATACCACAGGATTATGGACATCCTTCAATTTTCTGAGATTTTCAACCTGACTGCAACAGAATTCTTCTTTTGGAATGCAATCTGTGTGGCAGTAGTTGGAACAAGTAGGCTCCTTACATCTAAGAAGAATTTTATCTCTTGTAGTATACCACAAACACTGTAGTAAATACTGGGACAATAGCCAGAACAGATCCTAGAACAGATTAACTCGGTGGCACTCGATGAATGCACAAGGCTTATTCCTCTAAGAAAAAGGAGGAGTAGATGTAAAACAGAAAGAGACAGGCGCTCCCTTTACAGGCGACGGAAAAGAATAACAGAGCGGCTAAAAGAGGTCAATATATCTGAAATGCGTAGGGAGACACTGGTCAGAGAAATAGCAAGCATCGAACTTAAGCTAAAAGAATCCTTTAGGAGTCAGGAATCGCGGGAAGAACTAAAAGCCATAAATGAAATCGAAAGAAACCCAACGTATTTCTTCTCCTATGCCAAATCAAAATCGAGAACAACGTCCAGTATTGGGCCCCTACTTAAACAAGATGGGTCCTACACAGATGACAGCAAGGAAATGAGCGAGCTACTCAAGTCCCAATATGACTCAGTTTTTAGCGAGCCGCTAACCAGACTGAGAGTCGAAGATCAAAATGAATTTTTTATGTGAGAGCCACAAAATTTGATTAACACAAGCCTATCCGATGTTATCCTGACGCCAAATGACTTCGAACAGGCGATAAATGACATGCCCATGCACTCTGCCCCAGGGCCAGACTCATGGAACTCTGTGTTCATCAAGAACTGCAAGAAGCCCCTATCACGAGCCTTTTCCATCCTATGGAGAGGGAGCATGGACACGGGGGTCGTCCCACAGTTACTAAAAACAACAGACATAGCCCCACTCCACAAAGGGGGCAGTAAAGCAACAGCAAAGAACTACAGACCAATAGCACTAACATCCCATATCATAAAAATCTTTGAAAGGGTCCTAAGAAGCAAGATCACCACCCATCTAGAAACCCATCAGTTACACAACCCAGGGCAACATGGGTTTAGAACAGGTCGCTCCTGTCTGTCTCAACTATTGGATCACTACGACAAGGTCCTAAATGCACTAGAAGACAAAAAAAATGCAGATGTAATATATACAGACTTTGCAAAAGCCTTCGACAAGTGTGACCATGGCGTAATAGCGCACAAAATGCGTGCTAAAGGAATAACAGGAAAAGTCGGTCGATGGATCTATAATTTCCTCACTAACAGAACACAGAGAGTAGTCGTCAACAGAGTAAAGTCCGAGGCAACTACGGTGAAAAGCTCTGTTCCACAAGGCACAGTACTCGCTCCCATCTTGTTCCTCACCCTCATATCCGACATAGACAAGGATGTCAGCCACAGCACCGTGTCTTCCTTTGCAGATGACACCCGAATCTGCATGACAGTGTCTTCCATTGCAGACACTGCAAAGCTCCAGGCGGACATCAACCAAATCTTTCAGTGGGCTGCAGAAAACAATATGAAGTTCAACGATGAGAAATTTCAATTACTCAGATATGGTAAACACGAGGAAATTAAATCTTCATCAGAGTACAAAACAAATTCTGGCCACAAAATAGAGCGAAACACCAACGTCAAAGACCTGGGAGTGATCATGTCGGAGGATCTCACCTTCAAGGACCATAACATTGTATCAATCGCATCTGCTAGAAAAATGACAGGATGGATAATGAGAACCTTCAAAACTAGGGAGGCCAAGCCCATGATGACACTCTTCAGGTCACTTGTTCTAGCTAGGCTGGAATATTGCTGCACACTAACAGCACCTTTCAAGGCAGGTGAAATTGCCGACCTAGAAAATGTACAGGGAACTTTCACGGCACGCATAACGGAGATAAAACACCTCAATTATGGTTATAAATGACCATAATTTTTAAAGGGGTGGACCGGTAAGCCAGCGGAAGGCCTCGGTCAGATGACAAAAAGCTCCAAAGGCGGGTCATCATCTGACTAAGACCCGCGTCAGGAAACATTTGTCCTGTTTCCTGACGAACCTTACCTAACCTAACCTAACCTCAATTATTGGGAGCGCTTGAGGTTCCTAAACCTGTATTCCCTGGAACGCAGGAGGGAGAGATACATGATTATATACACCTGGAAAATCCTAGAGGGACTAGTAACGAACTTGCACACGAAAATCACTCACTACGAAAGCAAAAGACTTGGCAGACGATGCACCATCCCCCCAATGAAAAGCAGGGGTGTCAATAGCACGTTAAGAGACCATACAATAAGTGTCAGGGGCCCGAGACTGTTCAACTGCCTCCCAGCACACATAAGGGGGATTACCAACAGACCCCTGGCAGTCTTCAAGCTGGCACTGGACAAGCACCTAAAGTCAGTTCCGGATCAGCCGGGCTGTGGCTCGTACGTTGGTTTGCGTGCAGCCAGCAGCAACAGCCTGGTTGATCAGGCTCTGATCCACCAGGAGGCCTGGTCACAGACCGGGCCGCGGGGGCGTTGACCCCCGGAACTCTCTCCAGGTAAACTCCAGGTAATGTGAAGTACACAGAGGAAGCGTTGTACGTTTACAATGAAGTTCACGTGAGAGAGAGGGAAGGTGGTAGTATCGTGGGGGTGTTTATTACTGGGTTGGTAGTGAGGGAGGGTAAGGGCAGGCTGTGGGCAGTCAAACTGAGAGTGTTTCCGTCTCACTATCACTTCATAAACACTGTTTATATGATCCACACTTCACTACAGGAAGATGTTACACAAATCACTATGTTGCACTGTACAAGTCAAGTTGTTTTAAAGCACCTGGATACTAGCACAGAGCATTAAAGAGGTATAATATAAGATGCTCACTGTGAAGGAAGTAGTGACGTCACTCCTAGGCCTACCCTTCCCCTCACTCTCACCATATTGTTCACCAAAACACTCTTAAATATCACTGATTTTATAGAGGAGTTGGCTTACTTGTAGTAATGTGTTGTAGGTGGTACTAGGTCACTGAACAGTTTTTTCCCTCACCAACCCTCGTAGTTAAGTAATATTAAGAAAGATTGTGGAGCACACTGTGACACGTCCTCTCTCACTCTCTCTCTGTTCCACTCAATCACTTTTTTTTTACACAGGGTTTGACAAGGCTAGGTTAAGGATCCCTAGCTTTATTGACAAGCTATTTACAGGTTAATGATTCCTAACTTTATTGATGTAACTGTTACCTACATCAGCTCATTTGAAAACATTTTTTATTGTTATGAGACATACAAGTAGGGAACAGGATGAAGTTGGAGCCATCTGTGGGCCAGTATTTTCATTTCATCAACTGACTCTATCTCGTTGACATCATAATACTGTACGAATGCTTTCTATACTCGAGTCATCCTGGGCATAAATGATCTCAGATGAAGTGATGTTCTGGAGATGTGTACAGCCAGAGTGAAGTTGCTACTTTCTGCCCGTGTTGTGGTATAAAAGCTTTCTTCTCTCTGTCCTCGAAGTGGATACAAGTGTGGTACTTGCACATAACAGTAAGGCCACCCACATCCCTCCTGTGTTGAAGGCTCTGCTGAAATGACAGATCTATTAAGGATTGGTCCAGGCGAGAGATGAGACGTCTCGCTCTGTTCTC